GAATGCAAAGATTCCGAATCATACGGAATAGAAAATAGACGATCTATCAAGTAGTAAACTATATAGTATTATAAAAATGAAAAACTATTTTTCATAGAAAAATAAAAAATAACGTATATTTTCAGTGGAGAATCCGGTCCTGGGAACAATGAAATACGAAGCCCTGACCAAAGTATAGTCTGGGCCTGCAAGTACAATCCTCATGACCGAACTTCCAAAAATCTCCCAAATTCTTGATTGTCTCTTGGGAGCTCGGTCATGTGGAACAAAATATTCATCAATATCATTCAGACAAAATCATTCCTACCGTTTTTAGCCATTTAAGAGCGAGATTTTTCGCTGACTTTGTGATTGAAAAAGTCAAACGAAGAATTACGCTCTTAAATGACTATAGAACTAGAACAACTATCGACAAGATACAAATGGCATGTAATGCATGAAAAATAGCGTGACTTCATTTTTGACAGTTTACAAATGTAAAGTGTTGCGTCCTTAAAAACTTGGAAATATATACATTCATGAATTATCTTGTATATTAATTGAAAATCCATAAAACCCTAACAATATTTTGTCTTAAAAAAACTATAAAAATATAAATAAAATTAATCGTTAAATAAAAATATTTGATAGTTAGTATGGGTTAGTTGGGTATGGTGGCACTGCGTTCCACCTTACCCAATACTTGTGAATTTGACACTTTACAAAACCGGTAACGTACATTTTACAACATGAACGCAAAAACTAACTTAACCTTAAATATTTACAAAGCCGCCAACCATTTCACCTCACTAACGAACTCACTAATGAAAAAATAAACGTTCTCATAAATTTTCTTCTATATCTTCATCGTCAATGTTAACTCTATTGTAGTCATACTTGAAGTCATAAAGTTTCTCAAGTTTTGAAATGCATAGTCTTGTTAACTTACCTTCATCATCATAAGTTTTTATAAAACTACCATGACAATCTTTATACACAGTCAATGTATAATCTACTGGTCTAGGATGAAGTGTAAAGAACATGTTATGCTCAGGAAGGAAGAATAAATGTTTAAATGTATGCTTGTTATATTTTTCGATTTGTATGAGTTGCTTTTGTTCTGTCATTTATATAAAAATAAAAATTTTCAGTAAAATAAAAAATAAACTTAAAAATTAATGATATCACCACCCTCACACGTATGAAAACATAGCGCAAAAATAATGTTTATGTTAGAATGTTAGATCTAACACGTTTTCTAACCTCATTTCTAACCCTGTTGAATTCATTGCTTTATAACTCTCTTCCTTGGTTTCTTTTTAGTTGCTTTCTTCACGTCTGTCTCCAACTTGACTGTCTTTCTTCTTCGTCCGTAATGATACCAGTTACTTCCACCAGTCAATGGGTCAAATGGTCTTTCGTAAGGGTTTCCATACATTCCATAGGGACCATACGGAAGAACTACTGGTGGAGAAGAAACATTTTCTTTAGTTCCATCGACTCTATTTAAATGCATTGTTTCACCTTTCATCTGGTCATTAAAGTCTTTTGCGTGTTTTGCAAACTCATCGTCCTTTCCTAAAGCATTTTCTGACTCAGTCGCAACCAAATTGGATGCTTTATTTATGAGCCCTATTTTATTTAATCTTAACTTCTTTGCAACCCAGCCTCCAATCTTCCCTTTATTTGCATCTAATGTCTTCGAAACCCTTCCTCCACTCATTTTATTTACTGCGTCATAAGCTCCAAGTGCTTTTGCTCCAAATGCTAATGCTTTTGTTCCCATTGCGCCTAAAGCTGCCCAAGCTACCATTTACCCATATTAAAATCATCTCTCTTCAATATTATCTCATAAAAGTTCTCGTTACTGGAGAAAGTCAATGAAACATAAACATTCTCATTCATAACTTCTTTCTTATATCATCTATTCGCTTCAAAATGTCTGAACAATTGCTAACATCTTCTACAACAGTTATTTCATCATGAATGACTTCAAGAACAAGCTCATTTAATATGCTATTAAAATCATCTCAATAATGAGTCCATCCTTTCCGTCTTTGGTAGCACAACATCTTTCATTGAAGAAGGTTCGACAAGTCTTATGTTAAACTTACTGACAAAGTTTGTTATACTATAATGCTTCGGCGGCGAATACATGTAGTTTGAAAGACATAATATAGATTCTTCAGCAAATTCACTTATACTGGATTTTATAACAATGTTCTCACGAGACCAAATACCACCAATTGACAATCTTGTAAGCAATCCTGCTGAACCTTCTACTGTAAACGTCGATGGTAACATTCCACGAAGGTCATCTATTGACATCTTTGAGTCACTGAATTTAAAGATTTTCTTAAAGCAATTGTCATTATCTAACCATGCAATAGCTTTGAAGTTTTCATTCGAATACACATCTGCTTCATTAAATGTAAAACCTGACTTCTTTGCAGAGACGATTTAAAATCTATTGCATTTGTTTCAAAATTATATGCTATGGTAACTTCTGAAGGTAATGGATGTCCTTCCGCAGTAGTTGTTCTTTCACTACCGTTTGAAGCTTTGTGTTAAAAACTTTCATGTCATCTCCTGTATCTAAGTTCACATACACAGCAACAGGGAAACTATCTTGCTTCTTTGTTTCATCATTATATCTCAAAACATTAAAGTTCTTCAATAATATTGTTCTTCCTGCTGGAATACTTCGAACCTGTCTGATTTCAATAGCTTTCTCACCTCCTACATACTCTACCCAGTGTCTTGGATATTCATAAGTATACTGACTTTCTTGAATTTTGGTTGGTTTCATCATAACGTGTTCATAGTATATCTTTATACTCTTGTCAGTTAGACTCGGTGCTATGTTCTGAATATTTCTGACTTGCATTTTTAATGGAGATAAAATGAAGCATTTAATACATGACGTAGATGAAGACATGAATGAAAGCAGTGAAAAGCTCAACAGTTCTCTCATTCTTCCTTTCAGTAAGGACTATGAGTTCTGTTCAAATGGTGTTTATTTCTATTGTGGAAAGATGGGTTCGGGTAAGACATTTAACCTCATTCGTCATATACTCATAACAGAACGTTTAGGAAATGACTCATATTATGACCAAATCATTATATCAGCAACTTCAGACTCTATGGACTCAACAGCGAAAACATTTATGTCAAAAGTTCAAGCCTCTGTCGTTAAAGTTCCAGACAGTGAACTCATTGAATTTCTTCAACGTTACATTCGACGTAAGAGGAAATATTATGCCATCGTAGAGTTCATACAGTCAGGAATGCAAAAGACTTCTGAGGAGATGGAAAGAATTATTGACAAACACCACTTACGTCAGTACTCAGGAGTTTACGATATGAAACGACTTACAAACTACATTCTATCAAAACTTTCAAAATACCCCTTCAAAAAATATCCTTCAAACACTCTGCTCGTTTGCGACGACTTCGCCGGAAAAGGTTTAGTTCAAAGCCTGACTCACCATTAGCTAACATCATAACTAAAGTCAGACATTACCATTTAACTGTAGCAATACTTATGCAAACATGGCGTTTCTTGCTTTAAACATAAAACGTCTCATAACTGACTTCGTTATCTTTCAAGGTTTCTCACGCTATGATATTGAACTCATTGGAAACAGTCAGGTATAACATTACCTTTTGAAGAAATTTGGGAAGCATATAAGTCTCTCATCTCTCCTCGTTCATACCTTGAGATTCATATCATGACTAATACCATTAAAGTCAAAAATATTCCATGGGAACGACCAACATTGTTTTAAAGTTTAACCTTCAATTGACTGATGGTAAACAAATTCCATGCATCTCTGTCGCCATTTCTGTTAATATTTTTGCTGTCATTCATATCATCCACTTCCCCATCCGTTAGCTTTTGAGGATATGTGTTAGAATAGCTGTTCTTAAATGAAGGCTTTTCACCTTTGAGAGCATAAACTCTATAACTTTCTGCATACTTTATGTTTGAACCTCCTGAGCCATCATTGACATAAATTTTTATAGGCTTCCACCCTTTGTTCATGTTCCTGCTTCTTCCCTTAGCTCTTTTGTTCAGTAGTTCTACATCTTTATACACAGCACCTGTCTCAGTGAATTCAACAATATTTTCATTCGTTAGCTTTACATTCAAACCCTTGTCGAGTATATTGTTCATTTCATACATATAAAAGGTTTTTATTCTATATGAAATGAGAAGCAAATCCATCTTAGCTGGTGCCGTTAATGTTCCAATTGAACCAACATCAAATGTTGACTCACGAACGACAAACAATATTGTCATAAAGAACTATAGTTCAGAGTGTTTGAAAGAAAAAGAACCAGAACTGAAATCCGTGAATTTAAACACAGCTTCAAACGCTAACGCTACATCAGATGTTAAGTTAGAGTATCCACCACTGGACCAAATTCTTTCAAGAGAAGCCAACGACAACCTTACACAAATGTTCAAACAAATCCTTCAGATAACGTAGACCATTACCTTCTTCAGTTATACCAAACAATTTTACTCAAAGACGATAAGAAGCTTTTGACAAATCTTATAAGCAAGAACCAAATAATTCTAACAAAGGAGGACCTTGAAAATGTTATCTCACGAATAACAGGGAAACAATGTGTCATTGACTATCTCGACCCTGAAATCGAATGCTGTGGTCAAACGCCAATATTCATGAAAATAGGTAACATCCGCATCATTGAAACACCAGGTACTCCAGGAGTTGAGTTTAAGTATAAATATTCGAATGAATACACAAAACTATCTACTTACTATAAGCTTTGTTTGAAATATGTTTTAGTAAATTAAAGCAATTTGTAATATCTGTCCAAAACTTCTTCAACAGTATCGAACTCATCTTCATAATGCAAACCTAATCTTATTGACTTGGTGCAGTTTTCACTAACACAATATTTTTCTGTTCTCTTGACTGACATAACTAACTCATTTGTTTCATCAAACAGCAACAACCAAAGTTCATGACCTAATACATAACATTCATACTTTATATTTTTAGCTCTGAGTTCTCTTGTAAGCTGTTGCATTTAATATTTTCTAAAAAGTCAACTTCAACAGTCATTCGCACTGGTGCCTTCAGTTCTACAGGCTCTCCTTGAAAGTCAACAAGTCTGAATTGCATGTCTTTCAAATTATGAGGACTAATGCGAACCCATTTACCTAAATGAGTTGCTATGACAGGAACGTTTGGAATGAACATTGAATTGACTGCATAACAGAAGGATTTATATTCTACTGAACCTTTACTATTAACTCCTGAAATGCCTGTGACATTAGCTATTTTTGACTCAATGTACAAACAGTTGCCATAACATACGTATGGAACAGATTTCATCTCAATCGTTTTGTCAACACTTTTCAAAGGTAGTTGCATATGGTATGCTCCTAAAAGAAGTTGAACTCTATGACTCATTCGTGTTATCTTGAACTCTTTCTTGCTACTGAACTTCAATGTTCCCTCAGAAGAGAGTTTGACATCTATGTTGTCAATAGTTTCTTCATTTATGAGAGTATCTATGACTCCAGCAATTTTATCTATTCTATACTCTGCTCTGTTAGGAAATGTTATAAAACTTCTTTTGTCATCTATTTCAAACTCCATGAAATCTGTTTCATCTGTTATGACAAAAGTTGCGATAGTATTGAAGTCAACAACTCTGAAAGCAAGCGCTTCATTCTGAAGACCTAAGTTTGTTTGTAGCTTTACTGTCCCGTATTCGTTTGGGTCTGTACTTTGCAAATAGAACAACATTTTATTCTCATTAAAATATGACTATTGCTGCATATGCGTATGAAACAAATGAAGCAAGAAGAGCACATGAACTAGTAAACGAAAACTCAACTTTAACCATTGAAGGCAATGATTTAGTCATTGACGATGGAAAACTAAAAAAGTCATTGATTTCGATACTTTTAACACTTATGACCCATTCATTACAATAAGCAAGGTTCCTATCATAAATGATGGAACGGTGCAATATATAAATTCTACAGTAGATGCCTCATTAGTGAAAGTATTAAATGTTCTCATTGAATTGTTAAAGAGCTTTCGATTTGACGACAACATTAAATGCCTAAAGAATTTAGTCATGAATGAGAAACAAATTCTCGGCGTTGCTGGTAGCAGTAATGATGTACACCTTATGACATTAGAATATTATAACGAACATAAAGATGAACTGAAAGGAGAGAAGGGTGACACCGGACCACAAGGACCACAAGGAATACAAGGAATACAAGGAATACAAGGAATACAAGGACCTCAAGGCGAAAACGGTTTGGATGGAAAGGATGGAAAGGATGGAAAAACTGCTAAATCATGGATATGGGACCTTATAAATACTGGTTTAACAGCTGCTTCATATGGAGTTCTTCAATACCAAATCGGAAAGATATGGGCAGTACTTGGTGAACAAGTTTTAGATGACGTTAAAAATGCTTTGAACTTCATTTCAAATGGTTCGGATACTATTAAAACTTTATCTGGTTGGATGCAAGAAACAAGGAGTCAAATAGATACTGTAAGACGTATAGCAAACAATGCACGTACGGGATTGGATACTTTACGAGAAGCACAAAATACACTAAAGGAAGCAAATGATATTCTTGGCTCAGTATCAGACATGCATGAAGATTGGCTTAAAGGTATTGACAAATCTTTAAAAAATCACAGTCAGTCTATTGCTGACTACAAGAAAAGTATAGATTTTTTACATAGTGCTATGGACGTACATGATGGAAGCATAAGGAACTTACTTAATGCTAACAATAACTTACCAGGAACTATTAAAGCATTTATAAAGTCCTTTGTAAAACCTGGTGCTCTAACATTTAGGTCTTTGAGAGCAAGAGCATTGAAGTCAAGAGATGCAGAAACTCCAACAGAACCTACAGAAGGAACTGAAACAACAGAAACTCCAAAAGAACCACCAAAACCAACAGCTAATGAAATATTGTTCGAATATTTTCCAAGGTACTCTGTTCTCATTGCATACATTCAAGAAATACTTAAGAAAGCAGACTTGACTTTAGGAGATGATGAAAGTTCTGTATATCTTTCGTTCCAGTTTCAAATAGCAGAACTTTTGAGACAGATATGTTAATGTATGACAACATCTCTGATTTCACAAGATATGATGACGACCATGACCCCGAACACGGTGAAGAAGAAGTTTTACAAACATCCATTAAGACAGGAAAGGTTTTAACTCAAAGTCTCATTATTGACACCAAAGATGGCGAAGTGGACGTTCTTCAAGAGCTGAAGAAAAATACTTCTTCGGGAGGTGGTGGTAGGCATGAACTTGAAATAAATGAGATAGAAGAGAAATTAGCCGAAAAAGCAGATAAAAACCATGTTCATTATATAAGTTCAGACGAACAGATTATAACGGACTACCATGGATATTTAACACAGGATGAACAAATAAGCACTGAAGATGTTAATGAAAGAAGATATAAATACATTCGTGCTAAAGGTTATGACATACACTGTACTGTACAGTATGACACAGGTAAAGCACAAGAAGCATTTGGTTATAACAATGAAATTTATGCTTCATACTTCTTTGTTAACGGTGTATTAGTTGAACCAAGATTTACTTTGAGAGTTAAGGCAAAAATAACGTTTGAAGATGCTATTAAAAGTAAAGCTGACAAAGATGAACTTGACGCAACGAACATAGTTTTGAAATCTCATAAACACAATATCTCCGATATAAATGAACTTCAAGCTACATTAAATAGTAAAGCTGACAAAGAACATACACATAAATCCTTCACTACTGTTAGAGCAGACGACATAATATTGAACTATACCCTTGGTTCAAGTGCACCTTTAGAGAATCCAAGTACAAGTGTAAAAGATACACTAAACTCCTTAAATAGTAAATGTATGAATATCGAAGGTCATGTCAGAAACTTTGAAACACATGAACTACCAGCAATGTTAGATAAGAAAGCAGATAAAGAACATACACATAACTCCTTCTCAACTGTTGCTATAGAAAGTATTGAAGGAACGGTTGGCGGAACTGGTGGGGAGGGCGGAGCCCCGCCGCACGCGGCTGCATTATATTATAAACCTCCTAACTTTCCACAAGGTTTAACATCGAATGAAAACATAACAACGAAGAAAGAAATTAGCTGTAAAAATGTTTATGTCATGGATGATGAAATAATGTTAAATTCACTGCTCAAGATTTATATGATAAGAAAGCAGACAAAACAGAGCTTCAAACATTAAAGACTGAAATACTTCAAACATTATATCCTATAGGCTCTATTTATACGTCAATGAATTCAACAAATCCAGCAAGTGTTTTAGGTTTTGGTACATGGCAGCAGATTGTAGACAAATTCTTATACTGTGCTAACTCTTCAAAGCAAACAGGAGGTTCGAAGAAAATTAAAGAAGCAAACCTTCCACCACACACTCATACAGGAACGACAAACTTTTCTGGCGACCATAGCCACTCATTAAGAGACCACCCATTATACAACTCAGAATATAAAGCTGGCAATGATGTTTTATCTCCATCTTATAACAATGCAGCAAAAAAGATTTTTCGACCAACTGAACCAGGAGGAAATCATTCACACACTTTCACAACAAATCCAACAGGCTCGGGTGAAGATTACATGCCACCATTTGTGACTGTATTCGCATGGTACCGCGTTCAATGAACGCGCTTGAGCCTTGACCCAAAGGGTCTAGGCTTACCGTCTTGAATAAAATCTTTAACTTTACATAAATGAGCTTGAAAGAAGTATTCGAACAACATCCATGGAGGTCATTTAAGAAATTCAATGAAGCTGCAAAGAGTTGGGGATTTACTAACAGAGCTGAAGTGAAAAGGTTCTTTGACAAAAATGTTGTACATCAAACAAAAATAAACCCTTACGACTACTTTTTACCAATTTACTCCAACACTCCTGACGCATACCAATTTGACACTCTCATTCAGAGTAAGAAAGGAGGACATAAACCATTCCTCATCTTCATTAATGTTAACACTCGCAAAGCTTTTGCGTATATAATGAAAAATAAAGGAACTCGTGAAGTGTTAAGAGTTTTACAAAAGTTTGTAGCAGAACATAACCCAAGTACTTTAACATCAGACCAAGACAGTGCATACCTCAGCAACGAAATCACAGAATTTCTCATTAAGCATAACATAACTCACTACACTACTGAAGACCATAACCATAACATACTCGGCATCATAAACCGCTTCATAAGAACGCTCAGAGATTTAAATCAAGAGCGAGACTTTACCGAAGAAACAATGAAACATTTTCTCGAAGTATATAATTCCTCAACACATTCTACAACAGGACATACACCAAATTCAATGACACAACAACAAGAAGAAAAGTATATACAAAAGAAACGAAGTCAAACACAAAATATCAGAAATTCAACACAATTTACCCTCATTCCTGGTACAAAAGTTCGTGTAGTTCTTGACGACAAACCATTGACAAAGAAACGTTTAAGGTTAAGTCGAAATTATTATATCGTAGACTCTACGCAATGTAATGGATATCTTATAAAAGCTGCCGACGACTCCATTGCGTTTTATCCTTGTCATAAATTAGTTGAAAGTAGTAATGGCAAACTTGCTGAAACCATTGACGAAGCAAAGCGAGGAGTGGTTATTGAAATACTTGGCTACAACATAAACGATGACACTTATAAAGTAAGATATGAAGGAGGCGTTGAAGATGTTATACCATCTAAAAACTTGAGAGAGTCAAAGCCAACACATCTGGGACCATTAGAGCGGGAGTACTGGAAAGACAAAAATATGCCAGAAAGAATAAGAAAATTCTTCTAAACTTTTTCATTAGATGTAAATCAGACATGAATGAGAACAGTCATGATATCATTAATGTTTTCATAAATTTACACCAAAAATAATGTTTATGTTAGAATGTTAGATCTAACACGTTTTCTAACCTCATTTCTAACATGGTCTAAAACACACAAAACTCATGAATTTTGTGTGTTTTCAGCATTATTTTTTTTGCATTATGACACGAAGTGAACTTTTGCACTTCGTCAAAAACTCATGAATTTTCATGAATTTCCTTAAGATAGAAAAAATAAAAAAATTTTTAGGGTAGAATGTTAGATCTAACATGCTAACATAAACTTTATTTTTATTGAATTCAGCACAAAAATAATGAATTTCATTAGTTAGAAAATAACGCTAATTTTTTTCTAAGAAAAATTTTTATTTTGTATGTAAAGACAGTAATGACAAACATTGAGTTTGAAACAGTTAGAAAGATAGACAATGACACCAAAGTGGTTAGAATAGGTGATTTAAACGTAAGATACTCAAAGAAATACAACAAATATTCTTTGTCAGACATTTTATCTCCATCTGGAAAGCAAACAAACCACTGGGTTATAAATGCTTCTACTCAGAAAATTTTGACAAGAAATCCTGAGCTTATGATATCGGTAAGATTCTATGGAAAAAGAGCATATCTTATAGACAAAAGTCTTATACCAATAGTTTTGTTATGGTTAGACCCAGTTGTTGGATATAACTTCATAACATATGGTTCATTCGACTCAGAACGTTGCAGTGAAGGCTTACTTTACATCGTTCAGAAACCGAAGGACTTCAACACAAAAAGATATAAGATAGGAAGAACATATAATATAACTCTAAGATATGACAGTACAGTCAATAGAGTCAAGGTTGTGTTTGTTCATGATATGAGAGCTGCAGAAACAGAACTACTTGAAAAGTTTGAGAAAATGTATGGTGCTCCCATAAAAGGTAAGGAAACGTTTGAAGTAGATGAGATAGATAAAGCTATAAAATTATTTGACGAAGTTGCTGAAAAATACATGTAAAGCGTTTATTTTTGGTCTTTTGTGAAAGTCAGAAAATAACGCTAATTTTTTTCTAACAAATTTTTTTATTTTGTATGTAAAGACATATATGTCAACAACAGAGAACACAACAACTGCTATCGTTCATGAAGTCATAAATGAAGAATATGAGTGGGTTCAGTTTAACAAACAACTCCGTCTCATTCGTTCGGTCAAAGACGATATGTACCAAATGCAAAGTATTTTGACAGCATGTTTTGCTCCAGATACCAAACATACAGACGATTGGTTCAAAAACCAAAGCACACAAGAACTTTTGAGCGAAGCACAGCGAGACCGACTTTTTTCGGGGTCGCCTAAAACTCATGAAAACAGTGAAGAACAGCGAGTAGGGAAAAAACCGCAGTCGCCTAAAACTCATGAAAACAGTGAAGAACAGCGAGTAGGGAAAAAACCCTGGTCGCCAAAACTCTATGAAAATCGTAAAAATTTGCCAAACGGTTTGAGAGGTTGGTATGTACATAGACTTCTTGTAAATGCAGTTGCAATGTGGGCTTCGCCTCGTTATGCTTGGAATATTTACAGACTTCTTGACGAAATTCACAGACAAGAACGTGAAGAGATGGAAAACAAGCTTGAAGCAAAAGACAAAAGCATTCAGAAAAGAATACCACGTTCGGTACCAAAAGGAAAGGAAAAGAACTATAAGTATATGATTTATACTGAAGAGATGGAAAATGAAGAAGATAAAGATATGGTTATGTTGCATTTAGTCAGAAGAAACAACAAAAGCTTTTACGACCTTGCTAAGATTTACAAATCTGACAGAAATTGGTTCTATCGTGAAAACTTACCGATTTCAATGACACCGAATGAAGATGTGAAACAAATAGTTCAAGATACGTTACCTCAAACACACTATGATATTAAAGGTTGTACAATTCTTACCTTCAAAGAAGATTTGCCATTGTTAAAGGAAAAAATAACAGAGTATTTTGACAACTTCAAACAAGCAGAGTAAAAAAAATCTAAGCTAATTTTATTTTTTTATAAAATTTTATCTCATATGAAAGAACATGAATTTAGAATATTCGGAACTCTTAACAGAAGAAGAGAACGAACAACATGTAAAAGATTATGCAAAATTTTTGAAGACATACAAAGCATTTAAACAATATCTAAATGCTTCTAAAGATTATGCAAAATTTCTGAAGGTATATAAAGCTTATGAAAAAGCGTATGAAAAGTTTATACATTGGGGAATTGTTGTAAAATATCGATATGAAAACTAACCAAAAATATATTTTTGCTTAAATAGCTTCAGGGTCTATTTCTTCAACCATTTCACTTCCTTCGTCAATGTCAATTGAAGCTTCTTCAACCTTTGGTAAGAATTTCTGTATAACATCTTTGTTCGTTATTGTCTTCAGAGATGAAGGATAATATTTCACATTTGTTTCACCCTTCTTATATTCTTTCTGTTCGGAAAGATTTAAAGCAATACTGAAGAAGTCAATGTTAGAGTTCTTTATGACAGTATAATGAGTATCTTTGACATTCACGAAGAAACTCTTTTGTTTCAAAACTACTGCTAACTCTTGTGAAGTATAACGTTTGCGGTCAATGACGATAGCTAATGGTCTGACATACTGACCAAACTTAGATTCTTTCACAAACTTCTTGTTAAAGATAACATTAACGTTTGAAGCATTATTGAACTCATTCTTGATGGCAGTAGCGAGAGCATTGTATGAAAAGAACTTGCAATCTTGCATGTGTTTCATTAAAATAAAAATATTAAATTATTTTGAAAAATAACTTAAAAAAATCTAATCTAATTTTTTCAAAAAATATTTTTTTATTTCCTACTAAAGATGTATCGGAAGTTGTCTAAGTTAGAACACTCTCGGAATAAAACAACTTCTTACAGAAGCTAACATAGATGTTGCAAAACATTACGCGACAAACAAAAAAGCACTCGCTGACATCCTCAATGACTATAATGGTGCAATAAGTTATGATAGAATTCATGAGTTCATAAAGCCGCAACACGGCGAGGACGAAGTCCATGCAATAGCATTTCCTTTAAATGACGTTGCTATTGACTTATATCATAGACGTTCAGTACCTCATGAAGTAAGAAGAGAAATGTTTGACATAACAAATGCAAACGTTGGTCATACTCGTAAAGCTCTTTCGCATGATGTTCGTCAAGAGATGTTTGACATAACAAATGCAAACGTTGGTGAAACAAGAAGAGCTGTACCTCATGAAGTAAGAAGAGAAATGTTTGACATAACAAATGCAAACGTTGGTGAAACAAGAAGAAGAGACGACACACTGAAACAACAGAGAAGAGAGATGTTTAAAAGTGCTATAGAACAAGTTCGTAAAGCTAACGATGTCATTCGTTCCATTGACGACAAACCAAAAGAAGGTGAGAGATGGTTAAAGAAAGATGAAGAGAATAGGAAGAGAAATGTGAAGTCAGGCAATAGACTCATTGACTTTAACATCGAAGCTTTAGATGAACCAAACAGAGACTACTTACACAAACATTTCGGTAAGGTTTTCATGAGACTCTTAGAGAAAATTAAAATAAACTCACAACAGAGATGGATGGTATGTTATAAACTTGGTGGAAAGTATGAATGTTCTACGTTAAACCTCAATAATATTGGAACATTACTACATCAGCTCTTGAAGGAGAACTTTATATCAGAGATAGAAGCAAATGCTGCAGGTATTGTTGAAATGCACTATGACTTCTTCTTGACAAACATAAAGAATCTTACTGAAATAAAGATGTATGATTTAACTGAATATGAAGGCTTAACGATGTCAGATGTAAAGAAAGGAAAGCCAAAAAAGAGACCATATAGAGATGAAAGCACACTGACAAATGACCAGAAAGCCATTTTGGAAGCTCTTAAGCAAACAGGAAACCCAGCACTTATAGAAAGCTTTTGGAAAGATAATGGTGAAAAGAAGTTTTATAAGAAGAGAAGCGGTCAGTTCTGGAAGTATCTTTGCACATTACCTATAAATCTTGAACGCTACCAAATCTTCAATGAACTGAACAAAAGAACTGCAACACTTATGACAGAAGACAATTGTTTCGTTTATGCTTGCATTCAGGCTGGAGTAGATGGAGAGACTATTGACCACATGAGAGAAGTCATTCGTGTTAGAGACTTTCCTCAAAGTAAAGTACAAGAAATTTCTGACGCAACAGGTATAGCATTTAATGTTACCATTGGTTATTTCAATGACTCAAGACATAATGAAATAAAGAGATATATACCAAAAGAATGTAAAACTGTTCGAACTATTGACTTACTTCTTGTTGAAGACCACTACATGCTAAATGAAAGATTACCAATGACAACATATTTCATTCGCAACTATAAAGAAATTCTCAAAGCTTGTGGTGGAATGAACAATGAGAAACAGATGAAGATTTATACAAAGAGAGAAGATAAATACATTGTTCGCATGGATAGAACTACACCGCTATGGGATGTTATGAAAACATTGTGGGAGTGCAAATATTTCAAACCTATTTCTTATGGAGAACTTTTCACATATACGACTGACTTATATAAACAGAACCTTGCACCATTTAAAGATTTGACATATGCTCCAAAGTATTGTGTACAACTGAAGAAGAAAGCAGAGTCAAAAGAAGTAAATAAAAATAAGTGCAAGTTCATTCCTGAGCACGTTTTCTTTGCTGACTTTGAGTGCAGTACCGATGGCTTTCATAAAGCTTTTAACATATGTTACGACAGTGAAGATGGTTCAGTGAGTGAAAGCATTTGGGGTCAGAACTGTGCAACAGAATTTTTGGAGCGACTTCCTGACAAGAGTTTAATATATTTCCATAACCTCAGTTATGATATAAACTTCATCTTAAGACACATGACAGAAGTGAAAGGAACTCCCATCATTAAAGGTTCACGAACAATGCAAATAACTGGCTTATATAAAGGAAGGGCAATTATTATAAAAGACTCTTACAGTGTTATAAATAAGAAGCTTAAACTATTTCCTGCTATGTTTAACTTACAAACAGGACCGAAAGAAGTATTTCCATACAACTACTACAGCAGTACTTTGTTAGCAAATGACAACAGAACTGGTGTCATTTCTGAAGCATGTAAGTTTATTCGGGATGCGGATACATTCATGAAAAACATAGATTCCATCAAAGGTTGCAGAATAGATGAGAACCACTTCGACTTAGAAAAGTATAGCACATTTTATTGCAAACAAGATGTAAGAATTTTAAGAGAAGGTTTTGTAAAGTTCCGCAATGACTTATTGAAAGAGTTTGATTTAAACGTTTATGACTACGTTAGTATTTGTTCTATTGCTAACAAATTGTTTGAGAACAGAGTGTACTTCCCGAATGGAAATTTATATGACCTCTCAAATAAACCAAGAGAATTTATTTCGAGATGCATTCAAGGTGGAAGATGTATGTTGTCAGATAACATTAAACAAAAGAGTAAAGAGAAACTCATTGCTGATTTCGACGCTGTTTCATTATATCCATCCGCTATAGCAAGACTTTATACTTTAGAAGGTATTCCAAAGGTTATGAAGAAAGAAATGTTAAGCACAGAGTATCTCATGAGACATTTATTCGATGACGACCAAAAGGAACCCATTGGTGAAAAGTTTATGTCTGGCTTCTTTGTTCTCATTAAGATAACAGAGATTGGCATACATAGACACTTTCCTTTAATAGTTTGTGACCCTGAACTAAATCCAGAACTTAACGTTCCCAGAAGTTCAAACACTTGCTGTTTAATGTATGTTGACCATATAACATTACAAGACCTTATAAAATATCAAGGTGTCAAATGTGAAGTGTTGCAAGGATACTATTACGATGGAAACAGAGATATTAGAATAAGAGATGAAGTAAAGAAGTTGTTTGAGTTAAGGTTAAAGTATAAGAAAGAAGGAAATCCTTTGCAAGAAAATATAAAGCTCATTCTGAACAGTATTTATGGCAAAACTATTCTATCTCCTATTGAGTCAAAAATAACCATAGTAAATGACAAAGATGCTATAAGATATGCCATCAGAAACTACAACCATATAGTGAAGTTCGAAGGTTTGGATGGTTCAGATAAAACTATTTTCAAGCTAACGAAAAGCATTTGCAGACACTTTAACTTCTGTCCACTTGGTGTTAACATTCTGTCTATGTCGAAGAGAATAATGTGCGAAGTATTCTGTACTGCCGAAGATATGGGACTTCAAATCTTCTACCAGGACTGCGATAGCATGCATATTTTCAATGAAGACATACCAAAGCTTGCAGTAGAGTTTAAGAAGAGATACGGTCGCGAACTTATAGGAAAGAACCTTGGTCAATTTCATTCAGATTTTGCAGAAATAACACCTGGAAAACAAAGTTTAGCATACAAGTCAATATTTTGTGGAAAGAAGACCTACATAGACTTACTCACGAATGATTTAAATGAAGTTGCATTCCATGCACGTTGCAAAGGTGTCAAACAAGACGTCCTTGCTTTAACCGCTAACGAAATGTTTCCTGAAGCAGTTAAATGTGTTTATGATGAAGATAAGAACATTCACATACCTGTTGGAACATATGACAAAGACTCTGAGTTCAGTTTAATGAAACTTTACAAAGCACTTCATGATGGTCAAGAGATTGGATTTGACTTATGTAAGTCATGTCAACCTTGTTTTGCTGAAAAGTTTAACTTCTCAATAACGACTAAAACAAGCTTTATTCGTAAGTTGAAGTTCTGAGGTCATGAATGAGGTCATGAATGAGGTCATTTATTTTTATCAGCAATGAGGTCATGAATGAGGTCATGAATGATAAAAATAAAGCTAGCGTAGATTTTACAATACTGCGATGGTAGAGTTTAAGAGTTGTGCTTCAATGTAGAGACAGTCCTTATGGTCTGGAGGTAAGAACACTGGGCAGTTATGGTCATGAGTGGAGAACATGTCTATCCAAAACTCACGATTGAAGCCAGTTAATTAATATTAGGATTTGGAGTGGTGAAGTTCTTGTATGACCAATGAACTCATTTTCAACTCCCTTACTTAAGTTTGAATATAATATAGCTTGCTTTCTATCCCAAATGCCTGAAATCTAATTTGAAAATTCATTTTTCCTCGGAAGCATTGCATCATAATTGAAAACATTTTGAAGTCTCATTGGGTTCAGAGATTTGAAATCTTATACGTAATGGATTTTCTTTCTCTTTAGCGACTTCATTGAATGGTGAATATATAACAAACTGACAGTCATGTGTTCCATCTTCATTTTCATTAAATTCATAATGAAAGTCTATAAGTTGTGGCTGACTACCTTCTTCTTTCAGTTGTGCAAGAAACTCACGTAAAGGCTGTAAAGTTTGTACTTCAATGTTGAACTTTTTCTCGAACATCTCATTAAATGAAATCATACATTGTTGCAATGTTGTATCGTCTTTAAAGTATTTGTATATGTGAATGTTTTGGGCGCTTAAAGACTGTTCGTCATTTTCTATCTCGACTTGAAGTATAAAGTCAACCTTTCTGAAAGCACGTGTTATATACATAGATGTTATGCCAATGTACTTCTCTTCATTTATGTTCACAATCCAGTCTGTTGGAAACTTAAACGTTACTCTGTTCCCCTTTATTTTGACGTCAGGGTTTTCACTACTGAACGCAACAGATAAAGGTATTTGTCTATACATTTAGTTCCAATAAAAATAAACCATTTACTCTTTCTTTGCTTTTGCTTCAGCTTCTTTAGCTTTTTGTTCTTCCTTTGCTTTTGCTTCTTCTCTAGCTTTCTTCGCCAGCAAACGTGGGTTCTTTTGTCTTCCAGCAGCTAATGCAGCAAGTTGTTTTTCACTAAGTTTTCTCTTTGGTCTCTCTGGCTTTTGTTCTTGTTTTTGTTCCTTCAGTTCGGATAAAATTTGCTCACGAATTTCTTTCTTCAATGCTTCAACATCTATGACCCCTTGGGTCTTGTCCGTAGGGTTTGTCTGAGTCATTTGACTGCAGATAAAAAACAAAATTAAAACTTTAACCGATGTAAAATGAGCTTGTCAAAATCAGAGCGAGAGTCTATTATATTAAATGACGCAAGAGGAATACAACATCCTTTCTATTACGTAAGTCAGAGTAAAGATGGTAAAATATACGTAAGAAAAAGAAAGGTTCCATTAGCGAATGCAGAAAGCGACAACATTAAGGTGTATGGCAAGGGTGAAGTCCACGAAGCCCATATAAAACCTTCTGTTCAAACTGAAAAGTCAATAGAACCAGAAGAAAAGAAGCCAGATGTACTTTCAATAACGAACCAAGAGCTTATTGCAAAGTTCGTGAATTTCATTGAAAAGCAAACCGAGTCAAAGAACCCTGACCCACCAGTGAAAGAAGTTGAGACAAAAGAGAATGTACAGTTCATTGAAAATGTCAAGAAACAACTTCCACCACGAATGCCAAGAAGAAGAGTGAGAATAATGAAGTAAATAGATATTTTTATCTGAAGTAAATACATGCAGAACGAACAGTTAAACGAATTTACTCCAGCAGAGCATATTCATCAGATTCGCTCATATTTCGATATCATAGACAATGCAGTTCAAATTGGTGACACTAATAGAAAATATTCTGACGCAAAGATTCCATCACAACCTGGAACTGCTAAAGATAACACATGGGTAACATTCAATCTCTCACCTCCTGGTGAAAATATGTTGGACCTTTACAATACATTCATTACGTATAAAATGGAAGGTCAATTTATTGTAGATAAAGAAATTGGTTCAGGTTCCAATAAAACAAACCCACCAGGATTTTGGATTGGTTTCGATGACGCTTTCTATGCAGTTGCTGGATATCAAATCCTTGCAAATGGTCGTATCGTATATTCTCAAGACAACGCAAGAGAAGAAGCATATATAACTTCAAACTCACAAACTACCGAACAAATAAAGAAAGTAGATGTTTTCTCAAAGACTCGACATGAAGATGTATGGAGTCATTCGGGAACATGCAGAACAGGACAAATTGTTAGTGGTCCAATTACAGCAGGAAAATCATTTGATTTTAAGCTTCGTTTAAGAATTCCTGTTAGAAGATTCCTTCCATTAGAAGCTATTCGATTTATTCCAGCTTTTGCAGGAAACATTCAGCTTAAAGTAAAGTTCAGTAGCGACGCCTTACAATGCACATCTATATCTGTAAATGATATCATTGCTTTCAATCCAACTCTTAAAGTTGCATTTGCTTCAGATTCAAATCCACCGACAAATAAATTTGTTCCATGGAATGAACCATTCACTATGATAACGAAGGCAGTAGAAGCTAGTGGAACAGTTACTATTACAACTGTAACCCAGCAACTATTTCGAACAAAGATGGATTTTAATGAATGTTTCATTCATCCAAAGTCATTCTCTTTAGACCCTAACATTTATACAGAACTTGTAGAACATTATACAAACGAGGCTTTATGTTTTCCTGTTAAAGTTATGGATTGGATTCCTATGGACGGTTCATTCTCAAAGAATACAGATAGTTCAAGTGCAACATTTACAGCAGCTTATACGCCTATTAATGTTAAAAGTATTTGGGCACTATTTAGAAAGAAAGACAACTATTATGTTAATTTTGAGAACCCTAAGTTTAAATATCTTCAGCTTTCCATGGGAGCTTATGGAAATATGCCTGCAGAACCTGAAAAATCATATGGACCTGTATTTTATGAAATGGTTGCGAACGCCTGCAATACAAACAATGATATGATAGGATTTAATGAAGATGTTATGAGGTCATTGGTGGATGATGGTAGTGTGGAACATAAATGGGATAGCTATGACAACACACATTTCTTATGTGGTTTTCCAACAGAAGTGGACTTTTGCTTCCAGCAAGGTCAAACATCTACTGCTCCAATAACATACAAATTGTCTGTTAAAGGACCTATTGAACTAGCAACTGAAAACGTACCAAAGCCACTTATTGGATTTATGAGGGATTGTTGCTTTGCCATTCAGGTGCGTGCTAATGGAATCCCAATAATAAGATTAGATGACTATAACTTAGCAACTGACGACAGTGAGGAATAAAGGATGAACGTTTATTTTTAAAGCTTATAAATGAGTTCTTCATCAAGCTCTCGCGAACCTTCACCATCTATGAAACAAACTTTACCAAACGATTATGGAGCACCTATTGAATATTTCTTACGAGCTGCACAATGGCAAAGAGCAGTCTCACCAAGGTTAGGTGTTCCACCAGCTCCTGTCAAAAATAGCATTTGGTCAAGTCCTTATATAAGATATGGTCTCCCACTAGGTTTGCTAGCTACAGCAGGAGCAGTTATGATGCTGAAAAGAAATAAAGCAAATGTTGTAAATAATACTGAAGTAGCTGAAGTTAAACAAACTCCAACACCTTCGCCAAAACCAACGCCTTCACAAGCAAAATCTTCAATGACTCCTGAACCTATGGAAGTACAAACTCCTGTTCAAAAGTCAACTCCTAAACCGACTCCAACATTTAAACCAGAACCTACTCCTCAAATAAATCGTAAAACTCCTGCGTTTCCTTACTGAAAAAAAATAACGTTAGTTTTATTTAATATTAAAATTTTTATTTGATTGAAATGACGACTAAAGTCACTGAAGCAATGAAACAAAAGTTTTTGGTAGAATACATTAAATCAGGAACTATTCCAGAAGGTTTTTACATTCATACTATGAAGGATGGTAGAGTTCAGTTTAGAAAGATAAAGCAACCATTAGATAAAGAAGGAATTTTGAGAAAGATTAAACTTCATGAGGACAACATTGCTGAACTTAAGAAGAAGTTAGAAGAGTTGGAGAAAGGAAGAGAGTTATAAAGCAATGAATTCAACAGGGTTAGAAATGAGGTTAGAAAACGTGTTAGATCTAACATTCTAACATAAACATTATTTTTGCGCTATGTTTTCATACGTGTGAGGGTGGTGATATCATTAATTTTTAAGTGTATTTTTTATTTTACTGAAAATTTTTATTTTTATATAAATGACAGAACAAAAGCAACTCATACAAATCGAAAAATATAACAAGCATACATTTAAACATTTATTCTTCCTTCCTGAGCATAACATGTTCTTTACACTTCATCCTAGACCAGTTGACTTTTCATTGACTGTGTATAAAGATTGTCATGGTAGTTTTATAAAAACTTATGATGATGAAGGTAAGTTAACAAGACTATGCATTTCAAAACTTGAGAAACTTTATGACTTCAAGTATGACTACAATAGAGTTAACATTGACGATGAAGATATAGAAGAAAATTTATGAGAACGTTTATTTTTTCATTAGTGAGTTCGTTAGTGAGGTGAAATGGTTGGCGGCTTTGTAAATATTTAAGGTTAAGTTAGTTTTTGCGTTCATGTTGTAAAATGTACGTTACCGGTTTTGTAAAGTGTCAAATTCACAAGTATTGGGTAAGGTGGAACGCAGTGCCACCATACCCAACTAACCCATACTAACTTTGATATTAGAATTTTATTGGAAAAATAAAAAACTTAATATTTTAAAGAAATACTTAAATACTTGAATGTTTTAACTTTTACATTATCATATAGACTCTCAAATTATTGATTGGAAACAGTTTGAGGGTTATCAATTTAAAAAAATTGTGAGTTTTTTAGATTTTTGGCAATGTTAAACGGTTAATTTTTTCTCAAAAAAATTATTTCGAATTTCCAAAATTTTTGACATTTTGGCTGAGAACTATAGTCTGCGAGGTACATAGATAGAATCAGTACCTCGCAGACTATAGTTCTCTATATGGCGCCGAAAAATTTTTGGTGAAATGCGACGACATTTCACCAAAAATTTTTCGGCGCCATAGGAAGAATTGGAGGGTGTGAGATACTATTACATGCTATAGTACTCACACCCTCCAACTCCCAATCAAAATCGCATAAAATTTGCTACTTATCTTCAGATTACCTCCCATTATAAAATATATCATTGCTATCTCATCGTCCTATACTTCCACCCTATTGTATTTAAAAATATAAAAATTTTTGATAATATATTTTTATATCTTGAATTTTCAAACAATATATTCACAGATAATATAATGGGAAATCTATCTCAACCTAGCCTTAAAGTACCAAACTCCTGCTTGCATTCTCACTCACAAATATTAAACATCCATCTCCAAAAAACTAAATTCTTCACAATTTTTTTAAAATTGAGAACATAAAAAACGTATGCATTCAATAATTTAAGATACTAACAAATATTACAAACTTCAAAATATCAGATATTAACGTTTTTCAATTAAAAAAATATCGAGATTGGGACAAAGTTGCAATTCGGCACTTTTTGTAAAAAAAATGGGGTCATACTCATAATGAATAGAGACTTATAGCCAAGTCTTGATATCATGCAGGGAGAATATACATTGATAAGCAATTATATTTTATAGTAGTAGTATTCAGAAATTCTTACAATTTACAATACAATTTTCAAAAATGGATAAAGACTTATAGCCAAGTCTTGATATCATGCAGGGAGAATATACATTGATAAGCAATTATATTTTATAGTAGTAGTATTCAGAAATTCTTACAATTTACAATACAATTTTCAAAAATGGATAAAGACTTATAGCCAAGTCTTGATATCATGCAGGGAGAATATACATTGATAAGCAATTATATTTTATAGTAGTAGTATTCAGAAATTCTTACAATTTACAATACAATTTTCAAAAATGGATAAAGACTTATAGCCAAGTCTTGATATCATGCAGGGAGACTCTCTACAAATACAAAAATTGATTATCATAAGGAAATACAAATTTATCAATTTTCATGTGAAAATTACATAAATTTGTTCTCCAATAAATAGCAATAATACTTTGAATGTTATATTAAGTAATATAGATTCAGGTAAATAAGCTTACACTTCAAAAATATACTGTTTATTCATTAATTTTAAAAAGAGTGTGGGACAAACTATCCAGTGTCACTTTTATTAACCTTATTTAAAAAATTAATAAAATAATAATAAAAAATTATTTGAATCTTTTACATTAATTGTTTCTTTTTTAAAAGTACCTTTAAAGTACAATAAACAAGATTTGAATCTATTGATCCTTGTTGCAAACTTGAATATATTGCTTCAAGCATTTTTGAGAGTAGCCCATGCTAGCTTTTATCTCTTCTTGGATACCAAACTGGAGGAGCTCCATAGTGTTGAATATCACGGGCTCCATACAACAAATTGAATAAGGTATTTCAAAATTTGAAGGAAATGGTCCATCATTGAATGTAGTGGCCGGGAATTGAATGACATACAGATAGTTTGAGGAAATTTGTTATAAATTATAATATAATTGAAGAATTAATTATCAAAACAAGTCTAAGAGCCATTTGTCAGATTTTCCCGAAATGCAAGGTTAAGATTTTAGCAGCGACTAACTTTGAGTGTACATATATAATTGTTATACTGAGTACTTTCTATCTGTGTTACTTATTTGAGTCTAAGAGCCATTTGTCAGATTTTCCCGAAATGCAAGGTTAAGATTTTAGCAGCGACTAACTTTGAGTGTACATATATAATTGTTATACTGAGTACTTTCTATCTGTGTTACTTATTTGAGTCTAAGAGTCATTTCTACCATAGAACTAGATATTGTCTCTCATTAAATATATATAACTGTAAACTGCTTAATTCATTTATCTATTTAGATAAAATTATATTTATATAAGATTTCATGTTATTATTTCATCTTTATTATTTTTTTTATTCCTTTGAAAAGTGACACTGTATAGTTTGTCCCTTTCTCTTTTAAAAAAAGTCCAAATTATCTAATCTTGCTTACTCTTCCTTTAAACTTCTTTGTGCCAAATTTAATATTGCCTTCAAAGATGGAATAAGGACACTAGGTTCAATCCTTCGGCTTTCGACAATTTCCAAAATGTGTTGAATTAATTTCAAACATTCATCGTGTTTTGAAGCTCTTTGCTCAACAATCTGATTATCTGCCCTTGTAAGAATTCTTACTGCTCTTTTTTCATTCAAAACATTAGCGACTTGAACCTTAATAATCACATTTGGAATCACAACAGTGATGAGAGTTATGACGATGTCATCAATGCGCTCATTTTTCTTACCCAAGAAAAATGTTTGCTTTAATTGATGAAAGTGTGATTCCGCAATGTTATTCGTGGAATCACCTTCTCCACGATATAACATCATCCAATGTTCTTTGGTTCTTCTCCATTGTTTATCGAAATACTTCAAAGCGCGCGGTTCTTCTTCTTCTAACATTGTTGTCAAGAACTCATATGTTTCATCAGACTCTTCAGCCAGCTTTTCTGCATTCGTTGCATCTGCACGTAATGTCAAAAAGTCCAGTGCTAAATAGAAGTTCTCAAAATTCTGTGGATTGTCAAAATAGCTTCCAACTTTTGCACATGCGCGTAAAACATGCACAGTGCACCAACTGAGCTGCGCAAGAGGAAATCCGTCCTCAATTGCGCGAGCAATGTTTAGCGCACAGTCAGCGCTCCAATGCTGTGGATCCAGGTGCGCAAACTCACAGAATTTCACCAAACATTCTTGAATTTTTTCAGATGTCTGAGGGTTCACTAAAAAATAGCAAAAGGGGAAAATTGTGTTTTGACTTGTTTTCATTGTTACTGCAAACAATTGGATCTTTCCTTTAATTAAAGAATGAGTGGAATCGACGTGGAGAGGGTTATCAATGCTATGCACCAATTCTTTTGCAGCAAAAGGTGCATATATGATTGTAAACTCGGAAAAATCTCCATTGTAATCAAATTGAACGAGATCATCTGGGCACTCTTCCTGTAAATTATTCAAAAATGCTTCCAAAGAAGTGTAAGGATCGTTTGATAATCTTTGTGCAATAATCTCATCAAGGCGATAAAATTTGTGCTTTAAAGCATCAGTAGACTGCGCGAAAAGTTTCATCGTTTCTTTGTTATTCGTATCAATTCCGAACTTATCAAAAAATGCTTTTTGAGCAAGAAATTGCTTTCCACCGTTTTTAATATAAAGTTCGATCCATTTTTGATAAAATTTACTCGCGTAATGTGAACCCATTTCAACTCCTATATGATGGCAATGTTCTTCATTAACTTTGCTTATAGTAAACACTCCATTTTGTTCTTCAACCCTAAATTTTGCCTTGCATAGGGGATACGAACATGAATAAGTGACATATTGCTTTGGAGATCCCGTTCTTCTTCTGTATGGGACACCGCCCTTGACTTCCTGTTTAATACCAAAAGCAATAAGCTCCTCTAAGTCCACCGAAATCATAAAAATGAAGTGATTTTGAAAAGAGTTAACAAAATTCAAATCGAATGGGGGACAAACTCGCCCATTGTCACTTTTCATTAACCTTAAACTTGTAATTTTCATTATTTTTAATTAACCTTATTTCTTTCCCAATTCCTGATTTATTTTATTCACTTACTATTAAAAGTCACATTTTAATAAAATATAATAATTTATTTATAGCATTTTTTACTATACTGTAATAAAAAATTAATTATAATAAATTAAATGTTTATTAAATCAAATGTTTTCTTTGCAATAATATTTTTAATGTTGAGTAAACAATGTTGAGAAACGGGTATTGATTGCATGAAGGCGTTTAGAAAACTTTTTTAAAGCATCTGTAGATTGTTGAAACATTTCCGGAATGATCCCACTATCAAATGGGATATTAAGATCTTTGAAACACCTTAATTGTGCGTAAACACGGTCTTGATTTGATTCAAAATATCTTGTTAAATAAGATCTATAAAAATATGATGTAATTTGTTGTGATTTGTTTGGAAAAGGGGCAGAATGATTGTGGGTGTTAATACATTTTCGTATGTGGTACTTGTCATCGGGAAGTGTATCAACAAGGAAGCGACATGGAGTGTGGTAGAATTTACGAAAAAGTGACACTTAACCTTAAATTTCCAAACACTATTTTTTGATTGTATTTTGTTATTTATATATTTATATATATAAATATATTTATATATGTATATTTATATATGTATATTTATGTATGTATATTTATATATGTATATATTTATATATGTATATATTTATATATGTATATTTATATATGTATATATTTATATATGTATATTTATATATGTATATTTATATATGTATATTTATATATGTATATTTATATATGTATATTTATATATGTATATTTATATATGTATATTTATATATGTATATTTATATATGTATATTTATATATGTATATTTATATATGTATATTTATATATGTATATTTATATATGTATATTTATATATGTATATTTATATATGTATATTTATATATGTATATTTATGTATGTATATTTATATATGTATATATTTATATATGTATATATTTATATATGTATATATTTATATATGTATATTTATATATGTATATATTTATATATGTATATATTTATATATGTATATATTTATATATGTATATATTTATATATGTATATATGTGTATATGTATGTATTTATATATGTATATTTATTTAAAAAAATTAAAAATAATATAATTAAAATTTATTTATATTTTAAATTTCATACTGATCTTCGATTCCAATTTGTGAATTGATATCATTAACAATTGAATTTCGGTGCACCCCTATGAGAGCGCTGGCGACCGAAACACCACTAGTAAGATTGTGTATTAGAAACTGCTTCATGCTGTGTTGAGTAAGCTTCGATGTCTTTGTAGGATAGCTTTCTGAGAGCGAAACAAGATAGTGTTGAAAAAAAATTTTGAAAATCTGAGAGACTGTGCAAGAGCCAACGACCAAAACACTACCAGTAAGATACAGCAGTAGTAGCTGCTTCATGCTGCATTGAGTATTGTTGAATAATTTGAAGTAGTGGTTTTTGAAATCAGCACCCCTATGAGAGCGCTGGCAACCGAAACACCACTAGTAAGATTGTGTATTAGAAACTGCTTCATGCTGTGTTGAGTAAGCTTCGATGTCTTTGTAGGATAGCTTTCTGAGAGCGAAACAAGATAGTGTTGAAAAAATTTTGAAAATCTGAGAGACTGTGCAAGAGCCAACGACCAAAACACTACCAGTAAGATACAGCAGTAGTAGCTGCTTCATGCTGCATTGAGTATTGTTGAATAATTTGAAGTAGTGGTTTTTGAAATCAGCACCCCTATGAGAGCGCTGGCAACCGAAACACCACTAGTAAGATTGTGTATTAGAAACTGCTTCATGCTGTGTTGAGTAAGCTTCGATGTCTTTGTAGGATAGCTTTCTGAGAGCGAAACAAGATAGTGTTGAAAAAAATTTTGAAAATCTGAGAGACTGTGCAAGAGCCAACGACCAAAACACTACCAGTAAGATACAGCAGTAGTAGCTGCTTCATGCTGCATTGAGTATTGTTGAATAATTTGAAGTAGTGGTTTTTGAAATCAGCACCCCTATGAGAGCGCTGGCGACCGAAACACGACTAGTAAGATTGTGTATTAGAAACTGCTTCATGCTGTGTTGAGTAAGCTTCGATGTCTTTGTAGGATAGCTTTCTGAGAGCGAAACAAGATAGTGTTGAAAAAATTTTGAAAATCTGAGAGACTGTGCAAGAGCCAACGACCAAAACACTACCAGTAAGATACAGCAGTAGTAGCTGCTTCATGCTGCATTGAGTATTGTTGAATAATTTGAAGTAGTGGTTTTTGAAATCAGCACCCCTATGAGAGCGCTGGCGACCGAAACACGACTAGTAAGATTGTGTATTAGAAACTGCTTCATGCTGTGTTGAGTAAGCCTCGATTTCTTTATCAGACCACCTTTAAATTAACCACTCACATTCTCACTGTGGTCCATCTAAAATTTGTAAACTTTATGACATAAAATTATATTATATGCAGGATCCCACCTATTACTTAATCTTTTTGGAATAAATGTTTTATAATATTTATCGATTGATTGTAATTTTTTGTATAAAAAAAGTTTTTTATTTATATTAAAAATATATTCGGTTAATGATATTATCTTATAATTTGTAAATAAATCTAGTAATAAAATAACTTTAATAGTTGGTGTCACTTTTTCGAAAATTCTGGTTTTTTCTAGCACGATGAGATAGCAATGATATATTTTATAATGGGAGGTAATCTGAAGATAAGTAGCAAATTTTATGCGATTTTGGCTAAGAATTGGAGGGTGTGAGTACTATAGCATGTAATAGTATCTCACACCCTCCAATTCTTCCTATGGCGCCGAAAAATTTTTGGTGAAATGTCGTCGCATTTCACCAAAAATTTTTCGGCGCCATATAGAGAACTATAGTCTGCGAGGTACTGATTCTATCTATGTACTTCGCAGACCATAGTTCTCAGCCAAAATGGCTAATAATTTGAGAGTCTATATGATAATGTAAAAGTTAAAACATTCAAGTATTTAAGTATTTCTTTAAAATATTAAGTTTTTTATTTTTCCAATAAAATTCTAATATCAAATATTTTTATTTAACGATTAATTTTATTTATATTTTTATAGTTTTTTTTAAGAAAAAATATTGTTAGGGTTTTATGGATTTTCAATTAATATACAAGATAATTCATGAATGTATATATTTCCAAGTTTTTAAGGATGCAACACTTTTACATTTGTAAACTGTCAAAAATGAAGTCACACTATTTTCATGCATTACACTACTGCCACCTTCTGTGTTGCAACTGTGAGGGGGAAAGACTGCTTCATGAGGATGAGTTCTGCCTCCACCTCGTCCTCTCTATCTCCGTCTGCGTTGGCGTGCCTCACACCTATCCTCGCTGCCTGCATTCTCACCTCGTCCATGGAGTATATCCTCGTGATCCTGTTCGAGCGGACGACTTCCCCATCCACCACGCCAGACGCGGCTCGCTCTGGGAATGTGATATGTGCTTCTGTCGGCTTCTGTGGCTTGCTGTCCGTGCCTGTGCTCGCATCGTACACAGACAACCCGGCAAAGTCACTGCCACTCCTTGGCTTAATCTCCTTGAGCACAGCGCTTGTGATGAGTCAGCTGTATGTAATGCATGAAAAATAGCGTGACTTCATTTTTGACAGTTTACAAATGTAAAGGGTTGCATCCTTAAAAACTTGGAAATATATACATTCATGAATTATCTTGTATATTAATTGAAAATCCATAAAACCCTAACAATATTTTTTCTTAAAAAAAACTATAAAAATATAAATAAAATTAATCGTTAAATAAAAATATTTGATATTAGAATTTTATTGGAAAAATAAAAAACTTAATATTTTAAAGAAATACTTAAATACTTGAATGTTTTAACTTTTACATTATCATATAGACTCTCAAATTATTGATTGGAAACGGTTTGAGGGTTATCAATTTAAAAAAAATTGTGAGTTTTTTAGATTTTTGGCAATGTTAAACGGTTAATTTTTTCTCAAAAAAAATTATTTCGAATTTCCAAAATTTTTGACATTTTGGCTGAGAACTATGGTCTGCGAAGTACATAGATAGAATCAGTACCTCGCAGACTATAGTTCTCTATATGGCGCCGAAATTTTTTGGTGAAATGTCGTCGCATTTCACCAAAAATTTTTCGGCGCCATAGGAAGAATTGGAGGGTGTGAGATACTATTACATGCTATAGTACTCACACCCTCCAATTCTTAGCCAAAATGGCTAAAAATTGGGTGCAATGTAAAAAATTGCACCCAATTTTTAGCCATTTTGGCTGAGAACTATGGTCTGCGAAGTACATAGATAGAATCAGTACCTCGCAGACTATAGTTCTCTATATGGCGCCGAAAAATTTTTGGTGAAATGCGACGACATTTCACCAAAAATTTTTCGGCGCCATAGGAAGAATTGGAGGGTGTGAGATACTATTACATGCTATAGTACTCACACCCTCCAACTCCCAATCAAAATCGCATAAAATTTGCTACTTATCTTCAGATTACCTCCCATTATAAAATATATCATTGCTATCTCATCGTCCTATACTTCCACCCTATTGTATTTAAAAATATAAAAATTTTTGATAATATATTTTTATATCTTGAATTTTCAAACAATATATTCACAGATAATATAATGGGAAATCTATCTCAACCTAGCCTTAAAGTACCAAACTCCTGCTTGCATTCTCACTCACAAATATTAAACATCCATCTCCAAAAAACTAAATTCTTCACAATTTTTTTTAAAATTGAGAACATAAAAAACGTATGCATTCAATAATTTAAGATACTAACAAATATTAAAAACTTCAAAATATCAGATATTAACGTTTTTCAATTAAAAAAAATATCATTTTGCTTTTCAATTCGAACATAAATCTTAAATATTTTTAATTAATATCTGATTTACAGCATTATTATCCATTTATAAATCTGACAAATAAATGACAAAACCATCAGAAATAGTGTCACTTTTGTCAAAAGTGAAGTCACGCTATTTTTCATGCACAACAGCTGTACTTGATGTACATGGGGATGAGCCACTTGAGATTGTTGTCTGTCATGATAGAAGCCTTCTCAGCAGACATGGCCTCATAGCTGTTCCTCGTGACGTTGTACAGCTTCTTGTCACTGCCATTCTGTATCGAGATCGTGTCCTCACACCACGACGTTGGTGGCCTCAGGCCGAAGAAGACCATCGTGAGCTTGACCATCATGACAACACACCTGTCGACGATGACTGCGTCGTCCTTGTTGTTCACGATGCAGAGTGCGGCCCTCAGCTTCCTCCCTTCTATCACGCACTTTGCCAGCGAGTACAGCCACTGATGCTTCTTCAGGAGCTGTGGGAAGTTGAGATTGAACCACTCGCACTTTGGCTGGTTGTCCTGTCCGTTCTCCAACGCCGTGTACGTCCACACGCTTCTGTCGAAGTCGTATTCGTACGACTGGAGGACGAACTTGTACTGTGTGCTTCCATTAATGTCTCTGATGAAGACATTGAGTGGGTTGGTATCTTTGTTTGCCCAGCCATTCTTGTCTGCCAGCACTCTGAGCCTGCAGTCGTTGACCATCTTTGGCATGCTCTCGTGTTCCAGTATTGTTGCATCTTCCACGAAAGCAGACACGTGTGGCGACTTCTGGTTGAGAATGCCAGAGTTGCCTGTCATCATGAGGAAGAGCACGTCCTCGCCGCCATCCCTCTCCTTCTTGAAGAGGTCGGCACACATGGAGAGGCAACGGAACGAAGCAGAGAAGCGTGGGGACGTGACAGTGAGTGCCTCCTGTAGCTCGTCGAACACAAGTGTGTACTTCATTTTGACGCCCTTCACCTCTGGCTCTGCATTCGTGAGTGCTCTGCACATCATCTCGTATGTCCCCACGAGCATGTCGACGAGTAGGAGGTTCGACTGTAGGAGCTCCTGCTTGAACCTCCTCTCAGTTTTCTCCCTCGCCTCCTTTGTCATATTCTTAGTGACCTCGTAAGGGGTGTTCATTATGTAGTGTTGTGCCTTCTTCTTCCAGAACATCCCCTGTGTGTTTCCTCTTGTGTTCGACGCAATGAGTAGCTTCGCCATCAGCGTCCTGTAGTACGGCACACAGAATGTGCAAGCCTTTGTGAAGAACTGGCTCGCAATGAGTGTGTATGGGCAGCATATCAACACGACGTGCCTCTCCTTGACACCGTTTATCTCGTTCCTGACGTTCGAGAGGAATGCCTCTGCCACGAGACGTAGTGCGCACCTCGTCTTTCCCTCTCCTGTTCCAGCGAGTAGGAGTATCTTCCCCCTTTTGTACCTTGCTTCACCTCGTTGAGCAATGCCATGTATTCGTCGTATAGTGTGTTTGTCGGTGCTACACCCTTTAGCAGATCCTCCTCGTCCATGTCTACATTCACAGCGACACCACCCGTCTCTTCCAGTGTCTGCTGCCTCATCTCGCCCGTCTCTTTCTTCTTCCTCCTCCTGTGCTTCACCTTCTCCTCGTTCCTGAGCACTTCTGCCATGTTGTCATCGCCGTTTGGCATCCTGAGTGGCTCGTTGAGCTCCGGTATGTTGCGCATGTCAGTGTTGTCCTCCACTGCCCAGAGTGATACCACCCTGAACTCGCTGCCGTACTTTGTGTACTCACCCTCGCACACGAATGGCTTCCTCTCGTTCTCAGGCGTGCTCACACCGAGTGGCTGGTCGATGAAGGAGTATATAAGAATTTCCGAAAAAGTGACACCCCAAAAGTGACACCTTCAATAGGGAGTAACACTTAAAAAGTGACAATTTAAAATTCACAATAAATAAAAATAATAAAATTTTTAGTCTATTAAATTATTCTTTTCTTTGAAATCATCTAAAAATTCTTCGAAATGTTCTAAAATATAATCTGGAGAATTATAACAAAATTCATTAATTTCTAACATATACGTATCTAACAATTCATTTGGAATTTCAAACGATCTTAAATATGTAATTGAATTTTGTATCTTCTCATTTATTTGAGAAAGTTTTTCTTCAGCATTTTCCAATAAAAATCCTAATGGATTCAAATTGGCTTCGTGATTTTGAACAAAATTTAATACCTGGTATAAACGTGATTGAACTTCTCTTTTCAATTTTGTTTTATAATCTGTCAATCGAGGCTCGCGAATTCTAATTGAAGGAATAAAACCTGTTTGAAGTAAATCGTTTTTAATACGATAAAAGTAATTGGGTGCAACTTCTTCTAAAAGATTTTTGACAAAAACATCAATTCTTTGATTTTTAACGCAGCCAAAATCGTGATATTTTATCTTTTTAAATAAAGATTCAGAAACGTTATTCACAACGGTTAATTCATTTGGTCTGGCAGCGGCTATCCACATCATAGCCAACAATTCCTTATACAAAATTCAAAAACTTGGGTGCAATCAGTTCTGATTGCATCCAAGTTTTTGAACTTTCTTGAGGGAATTAAAGGGTGAGAGATTTATAGTCTATCTATATATCTCCCACCCTCTAATTCCCTCCCTGACAGCGGGAAACTTTGTCTGAATGTTAAACTATTCAGACAAAGTTTCCCACTGTTTGCGAAGGAATTGTTGGCTATGATGTACTGATTCATGATCAGTACATCATAGCCAACAATTCCTTATATAAAGTTCAAAAACTTGGGTGCAATCAGAACTGATTGCACCCAAGTTTTTGAACTTTCTCGAGGGAATGAAAGGTAAGAGGTATACATTATGAATATATACCTCTTACCCTTCCATTCCCTCTCTGACAGCGGGAAACTTTGTCTGAATGTTAAACTATTCAGACAAAGTTTCCCGCTGTCAGCGAAAGAATTGTTCCATCTGGTGCATAGAGTGTGAATCTATGCACCAAATGGAGCAAGTCCCTCGCGAAATTGCCAAAACTTGCGTCGCATTTCAAAGATTGCGACCCAAATTTTGGCGATTTCTAGTAGAGATGGAGTATTTTGAGTCACTGACCTATATGCAGTGGCTCAAAGGGCTCCATCTCTACTTTGAAGCAAGGAAACTTTCCTCGAAATTTTGATAATTTGAAGAAAGTTTTCAAGCAATTAACAAAGGATTACTCGCTATGAGGTAAAAATTCTAGATTTTCACCTCATAGCGAGAGCTTCCCTTTCATTGCTTGAAAACTTTCCCCAGCTTCAAAATTGGGGAAAGGGCTGTAAAGTCGACTCCGATACCAGCAGGTACCAGAGTATTTAAAAGAGAAGCCCTCGTACGAGTTTCTATGAAGACCTTCTCATTCAAGAAGATCTTAATAGAAAATCGTACGAGGGCATTGGAAACTCGCGTCTGGTACATGTTGGTACCAGAGTGTTTGAGATTTGAAGACTCTGGTACTAACATGTACCAGAATTTATGATGAATTTCAGATGGACCATTATAAAATGGTAGCGGTTTGTTTCAAAAAATTTAGGTGAGATTTGCATAGATATAGATTATATGATTTATACATATGAAAAATAATATATAAAAATATAATTTTGAGATAATTATGTAAATAATATTTTAAATATTTGAATTTGAGGTATAATTTTATAGTAAAATATGTTTCGTACCGAAATGGCTAACAAAAAAGTGACAGACAACCTTAAATAGCGCGGCAATTTTAATTAAAAAAATAAACATTAATTTTTGTGATTGATATTATGCATTTTATTTATATTATATAAGATTTAAATTTAGGGGAAAAATTGGAAAAAAATAAGATTGGAAGTCTTTAGGTAAGAAGGAAAGGGCAAGAGATATATAGTGTACCTATATACCTCTTGCCCTTTCATTCTAAGTAGAAATGGGAGAAACTTTGTCCGCATCATAAGTTATGCGGACAAAATTTCTCCGATTTCTAATGGGAATTGCAGGCTATGAGGCACTGATATATAATCAGTACCTCATAGCCTACAATTCCCTTTATTAGACTTCCAAACTTTGAGTTAATGTCTTGACATTAACTCAAAGTTTGGAAAACTTCACGTAAGAATCAATCGTCAAAAACCTCGATTGCAGTTATATTCATTGTGTTAAATTTGATTTATTTTGAAATTTTTATAAATTAAATTTTATATAACATAAAGCGTTATGAATTAGTATTTCCATATGAATTTTATCTCGAAAATAGTAATTCTGTACAGTTATATTTCGGTTAATTTTGGAAATTTCTAGGAATACTTTAAGATAGTATGATTATATATAACTCTGCCTTCATGATTTATTTTAGCTTTCGCGCAAATATCAGTTAACTTAACTCCATTATTTGATTTTGTGATGGCTTCACAAAGCCAATCAATATTGTAATAAACAGAAATTCATCAAAAGTGACAGCTCTCATTTTTTTGACATTTGTAAATTCTAAATTGAATGAGAAAAATGAAATAATACTAAGCATAATACAATATTCTAGATTTAATTATAATTAGGGAAAAGTTGGTTTTGAGAGTAGTTTTCATAGGCATATAGAATGAAATCTTCTGAAAAATAATATCACATAAACTCATATTATTTTCTAATATATAAACTATTTATATATAAAAACCAAATTCAATGATCTTAAAAGCGAAGGATAAACCTCAAAATTTACGAATATAATGAGTGGGAATATAATGCTTATCTATCATAAAACCATATGAAATATCAATTTTTGCTTTACGCCTAATTTTTGACGACAATTAGCAAAAAATGTTAAATGTTAACACTCAGTCCATTTGAATATGAAAAATAAAATTGACTTTGATTAAATGTTTTTATTTATCATGCAATTCTTCTTGCGACCAAAGATTTGAATAAAATTTCAAAAAATAAGATAGCTTAAAAAATAATATACGGTAGTGTTTACTAATAGATGAATAGTATATAAATTCTATTAAAATGGATTTGATCCAAAAAAATATATAAAATTTGATCATAAATAAAATCGTTTTAAATTACTTCTTCATTTAAATTATAACAATTATTTTTGGTTTTATATTTTTTGGATCAAATCCATTTTAATAGAATTTATATACTATTCATCTATTAGTAAACACTACCGTATATTATTTTTTAAGCTATCTTATTTTTTGAAATTTTATTCAAATCTTTGGTCGCAAGAAGAATTGCATGATAAATAAAAACATTTACTCAAAGTCAATTTTATTTTTCATATTCAAATGGACTGAGTGTTAACATTTAACATTTTTTGCTAATTGTCGTCAAAAATTAGGCGTAAAGCAAAAATTGATATTTCATATGGTTTTATGATAGATAAGCATTATATTCCCACTCATTATATTCGTAAATTTTGAGGTTTATCCTTCGCTTTTAAGATCATTGAATTTGGTTTTTATATAAAATAGTTATATATTAGAAAATAATATGAGTTTATGTGATATTATTTTTCAGAAGATTTCATTCTATATGCCTATGAAAACTACTCTCAAAACCAACTTTTCCCTAATTATAATTAAATCTAGAATATTGTATTATGCTTAGTATTATTTCATTTTTCTCATTCAATTTAGAATTTACAAATGTCAAAAAAATGAGAGCTGTCACTTTTGATGAATTTCTGTTTATTACAATATAAAGGAATATGAATATTAAATAAATATATCTAAATAGAAAGAATCAAAAAATCAAATTATTGGCGCCAAAAATGTCACTTTTTAGTGAGCCATTTCGGTATGAGATAATTTTATAGTAAAATATATTATAAAGAGTATTTATATAAATATTGTAAAATAATATAAGTAATAAAAATTGAGACCCCCTCCCTGTTTTTGATGTTTTGTCACTTTTTCGGTAATTCTTATTGTTTCGTTCTTCTTCAAAATTTTTTTATGTTGCATGCTAAGATCAGTCATAATGTAAACCTCTCAATTTTATTGTCGTGGGAAGTATCTCAATTCCTTCAAAAAAATTGAAAAACTATTTAATTTTAAAAATATAATACTTTTAATTAGTTAATTAATTGGAGATATTTTTTAAAAATCACTTTTGATAATACTTTTGAGAACTTTAATTAAAAAAATATATTCAAAAATATACAGGATATCAAGAGGGAATTATTCCTTATGAGGTATATAGTTATGATGTATACCTCATAAGGAACAATTCCCTCCTTAAAATCGTAGACATTTTTTATACTTATTAATCAACCATTCAAAATTATATTCCTCTGAAATGTGATTTTATTAAAAATTTAGAATTTTAATAAATATAGAGTTTGAATTTCATACAATACCTATATATTTTCAATAATGGAATTTGAAAACCATTCTCAAAAGTTCTCAGAAAACCTTTTTTTCATTAATTTAAGAAATCTGAGTATTAAATTAAGTGATAAATTCGTTTGACACTACTTTAATTTTTAAATTCAAAAAATTATATGTGCTTCTTAAAATGACTCAAAAAAATTTTATTATAAAATAATATATAATATTAAAAATCCCACAACATTTTTTTACTTTACATAATCGTACTTCCTCGACGATTAATTTCCACTCAATTTCTATCGTTGACCGAACTTAGCATGCAACATTTATTAAAAAGAATCTTTACAAAATATACATTTACTTTAA